GGCAGGTTATACATTTAAAATGAGTATTTCCTTCACCTACTTTATGACAATTGATCTCCTTTGTGGACCACTCTCTGCTCTCTAATTAATACACAAGGGATTGGATATCTTTCTCGGTTCTCTAAATTTTTCATCAGAAATTTCCTTATTTTTAAAATGTTAAAATGAAGAAAAATAAGCATTTTTAAAACTTAAGACTATATTCCCAAACTCTTGTCTTTGTTCCTGCTTCTTCTCTTTGGATAGATACATTGGTGTACAATACCATAATTTGGACTTCTAATAATGTGTATTAAATATTTTGAAACTCAAAATTTTAATATTAACGTATTGGTTAAATAATGATTCAAACTGGCTTTTTTTATAGATTGGGGAGAAGAATGACTATTCCATTTACAATTAACCCCATTTTAGAAGGCTAGAGATGATATTAGCTCTTTTTAAAATCAGATCTGGGGATTTTGGTGAATCTGATCCACTTCATTAACACCCTAAGTATTTATAACTGACTCAGTAAATTAAGCATACTAGGTTTTAGCATAATATGGGAATACAACCACTGAAATGTAGCTACCATTTACAGAGATTATGTACTGAGTAACACAGGAAAAATATACAAGGCCTGGCAACCAGTAACACTCGCAGTAGAATTGTGTAGTACTTTGGATACAAAGATTTTAAAAGGTCTCAGGCACATAGGATCAGGACCATCATTTAGTTGCAGTTCAAAAGATTTATTGTTCAAGCAAGAATCTAGTCAAATTTAGTTCAGTACTAAATTGGCATCAGATAAGGATCAACAGAATTCAAAAGTCTTGGACATTTGTAGCTGCTGACATGCCTAATTCTGTCCCCCACCCCCAGTTTTGTCTTTAGCACATGTTGTGATATGTTCTGCAATGTCTGTATAAAAGCAGCTGAATATTTTCTAGAAATTGAACAATTGCCCTCTGTAGCTACATGAGTTTGGTTTAATGAGTTGTAATTTCACAGTTGCTACATTCTCTGCAAGCTCTGAAATTTTACCTTTAAATCCATGGACTACCCAGCCCTTAATACATATTTTCCAAATGGACTTCAGTTTTAGAAGAGCAACTATTTGTCCTTAAGGGACACACACAATTATCTTTGTTTCCTGTTTATTACACACACACACACACACACATACACATGGGTAACTGTTCTCATCAAGATTTTTCTGAAAGAGAATTTCCAACATTCCTCATTATAACGATCCACTATCACGGTAGAAATTATAGTTCAGTAACACTTTCAAAGACACAAGATTTCCATCCTTAATTTAAAGTTGGCTGAATCATAGAACAGACAAAAATGGATTAATGAAAAAGGATTAACTTTACTACAGCTAGGAAACACAGTCCCTTCTATGGAAAATAGAGTCTTTCAACCCATGTCACTTTTGTCATGTTCAATTCTAGAGGCTGCATTCCAAAACCTAAATCTAGCTTTGATAGTCAAGTGCTAACTAAGCTCAATTTCATGATGTCCATCCACTAACAGTAATTTAAATAATAATATCATTAGTAAATGTCAAAGGTAATCTACACAATTTTTAAGACTACTTATTCTTCAAGTATTTATACCCTCTAGAGGTATAAAACTCAGTCTTCCAATTTCTAGCCTGATGCCTTAACCACCACAGATTTGCAAAAAACAAAACAAAACTGTAATTAATTGGAAAAGCAAGGAAATGAGATTTTACTGCTCTAAATCATAAACTATGTCACAGATTACATTTGTTAGCTATTTTGTTACTTACCAGCAGCACTGATTTAAATATGTTTAAATCCATCAACTACAGTTTAGTGCACTTTTCTGTACTTCCAAGTGGCTGAACAATGTCCATGATGTTTCTGCAACCACAATTATAGTTGCAATTAAATTTTAGAAGTAGAGTGTTCAAACCAATCAATTACTTCAACCATAATGGGATTTGAAGTCCAACACAGCTGGAAAGAAGAGGAATGCTGTTCTTGATAGCCAAAGTTAATTCAAAGACAAGCTGCTATTTTACATTATTACCTTGCAGTCCAGTTTAAAAATGAGAGGATATTCCAAGAGGATATTCTCCAATGCAGAAGTCATTAAAATGCATAGGGTTTGAGACTTCTTTTCCATAGTCCTCATTCATTAAAAGGGTTGTGCATAAGATAACTTTTGGAAATGTCCATGGCTTTTATTTTGGGGTTTTCTTTTTAAATACCTTTATTTCAAAAGTCCCATATCATTATTTTTGAACTTTGAGGATATACATTTAGATGCTGATATTTTGAACAAAAGATGTGTGAGATTGCTCACATGTACTAATGTATAGAAGTTACAGGAGTTCATTAGGAAGGTATATGATAACTTTCCTGAGTACAAATTATGTTTAGAGTGACTAGATTGACATCCCTATCTATTCCATGTAACCAATGTTCCAATTCTGTCTTCAGCACAAAGAACAAAGCCAGCTGGGTGATCAGTCACTTTCAGCTTTAGGGAGGAAATAATGGCAAATTACTTCTTGAAAAACCTTACCAACAAAATATCTGGACTTCTCCAGCTATTCTCTGAGAAAGGGATATCATTGAAGAAAAAAATGGAATTATTTTTTGCTAGCCAATTTATATAATACAAGGACTGACATCAATGGCAAGTAGATTATTTTAATCATAGGTGGCCAATAAAACAAATACATTCTTACATGGAGAATAAAAGTAAATGTATAAGACCAATACAGATTTTATATGATGGTCCTTGAAGACAATCTAGAAATCAGAGCCAAGGAGAATGTGGCAATATGGCTGGATGGTGACTAAGGTCTCTCATTACCCCTTTTTGAAAAATTATCCTCCAGAGCTATTCTACATAGTCACAGTGGCATTTAAATTGTGATGCTTAAACTCTTGCACATGTATTCTTATGGTAAGACCTATTTGTGAATAGTCTTGACATCTTATCTCATCAATTAAGCATTTTTAATATTAATATTAAAATTATTATTAAAAATGCTCATACTACATACTACCGTGTTTCTCATATAATAAGGCCGGGTCTTATTTTTTTTTGAGCCCCGAAAAAATGGCTAGGCCGTCTTTTCAGGGGTGATTTAATTCCCCCCCCTTGCATCTTCGGGCGGGCAGCGATGGCTTGGATGTTGACCTCGGCATTGGTGGGGCACTTCATATTGGGGTCAACGCAGGCAGCACCATATCCGGGTGTGCAACAAAAGTACTTCCTAACGGCAAGCCCCCCCCATGATTCCCCCCCATTTTGCATGTTTTAATATAGGCCTTAATTTGGGGGGAGGGGCTTAATTTCATTTCATGCCTATAAAACATGCTGGGACTTCCTATTGGGGGAGGCCATATTGTTGGAGAAACAGAGTACTATAAAAATACTACATCCAATGTAGCTTTTTCAATTATGGGATTCATTTTATGGGATAAATGCTCACTGCCTTAGTGGTAATGTTATGTATTGTTTTAATTGGAATTATTTTTAACACGTACCTTTGCTACATTTTGTAAACTATTCACTGCATTAAGGGAACAAGTTGCAGATACAGAATATAAATAACAGGGATTTTCTACTTCCCTATTACAATCTGAGAACCTAGACTGGGGGGAAATATGCTGTCCCTGTATACCACTTAGAGACGGCTTTAATGCACTGTGAAGCAATATATAAGCTTAAGTACTATTCCAGTTATGCTTAGGACAACCTGTTGAAATGTCAAATAACCTTTACTGATTGGATAAGGTGGCAATAACTTAAGCGTTCATTAGATTGTGTTTCCCATGGCTATCTCCAAATTAAAGGCATCACTGCCAATTAGTTCTACATTTTGCATGTTTGTCGAATGATGTGTTTTGCCTTGTCCTATTTTTTTTAATTGGTATCTGTCAGCCTTCAAGATTTTCTCCCCTTTCTTTGCATCTTTCAGCTATCATAAGTAACGGTGGGGGAGGGGGGAAATTATGGGAAGTGAGCTGGAGGTGTTACAAACTAGAACTGTATAAACTGGTGAGGGGGAGTACATTCTTGCTTAGGTTTCTATTCCTTGCTTAGCTTTCTTTTCTATGCTATGCACAGCTGCAAACCTTTATCAAACTATGCCAAGGTCAACTGACAGAAGCCTCATCACCACCTGGAGATATCCACATGATGTTATTCACAACTTTTAATTGGAAGAACTATTTGAACTATTGGGGGTGGGGGACATTGCCATTACTTTGTATATGTGATTTACGTGCCCATTTTCTCAGATTCAGAATTCTTTTGATGCTACCACTTGATTTCCAATAAAAGATATCTTTTCTCTAATTAAAAGAGTATTTCTTTCTTGGATTTTGAATGGGGCACCAGCTGACATTATTCTGAATCTGAGAAAATGACAGTATCCATTTCATGTATTCATAACCACGCTTATGCTTATACCTGTTATCTAGTACTTGCTTGTCAAATAAACAAATAAATAAATAAATTGAGGTTCCAAGGCCAAATGTGGGTTTCGCAGGTTAAAAGGTTTGCACGCTGAGCTCCAGCCTCGTTACCTCGCAAGGGTCCTGGGCGCGCTCTAACTGCTACGCTTTCTGACCCCGCCATCTAAGAGATCCCCTAAACAGCGCAGATGTTGGTTCTTATCCAGCATCCTAGAACGAGGGCTGCAGAACCTGGAGCAGGAAGACAACAAAAAAAGGAAAGTCTGGCCCGCTGCTGCCCCCAGTGGTCATCCAGAAATTGCAGCACAAGGTTGGACAGCTCTATCTAAATCCAAACATCAGCAATAACAATTTTTTTCCTCCTTATGGCGTATATGAGTGTGCGTGCTTGCTACTGGCTTCTCGGGTAATTTCTTGACCAATGAAACTTCTCTGCGAAAGAATCCCGCCCCTTTTATTGAGCTCTGTTTTTCTGTTTGTTTTTCCTCTTCTCCCAGGTCCTTGCCTATCAATCAATTATAAGCGTGACACCACCCTGAAGATCAATTGGTCAGGATTCAAGTCAATTTGTGATTCCGTCCAAGCGATTGGACTTTCCATTGACGTCCATCATTGTCAAACGCGTTCTTTTACATTGGCTAAACTTCGACGTTTCAGTAGGCAGGAAAGATTGGTAAGAACGGATGCCAGTCATTTGGAGGCGGCCATCTGAACGAACAACGTGTATTTTGATTGATCAAGCAGTATAATCCTTGAAAAGCGATTGGTCACGTCTCAGTGGGGTAGGCGGGGATTACAGGGCGGTGCCCGGTCTGCCGAGGATGAAAATGGCGCCTTGAGGGGGGTCCGTACCGCTGCCGATTCCTTTCTAGCAGGTGAGCGAGCTCGGAGGAGCGAGTTCGTGCTCGGGGAGAAATGGGAGGAGAAATCAAGAAATGGAGTGGGGCGATAAATGGAGGAAGAGGTGGGATCTGTAAAGCGAGTAGGGGGCCTTTGTTGGGAGGCCCCCCCCCGAGTGCGCGAACAGGGCTGAAGCAAATGGGACCGGAAGGGGGCGGGGCTAAGATGAGAGCCCGCCTCCGGGGACCCATAAGAAAAACAGGCATGGGTGACGGGGGAAGAACGAGAGTGTCCATTCATTATTCCTGTGTTCAGAGAGCGGGAGGCGGGAAATGACGGGATATTCTGAGTTCCTTTTTTTTTAATGGCGGTGTACTTGTACTTTCTAACAATAACCTGACAGCAAACAAGTGGGCCTTTCTGTAATATTGTTGGTTCAAATATATGTTGACTTGTGCCCCCACCTCCAATGCCAGGCTATTTTGAAAGCTCTGTAGATTAACAAAACGGTCTAAGACTGGAGAATTAAAGGAACTGGAGGACGGACAGTGACCGTCCTGTCAATTACAGTAGAGAATGTGTGCATGAAGACTTGAGATAGTCGCCCAACCCAGACGACAGTGAGAATATGTGGTTTTAGGGCACTGGGACAAGCCTAAGGGGGGGGGGCATGCCGAATCAGAATGGTGGGTGCTTGGAACCAGGGAAGGGAAAGAGATGGGTTTAGGATCGTAAAGAGAAGAAAAAACGGACTGAGATAATGCTGCCTCTAACCTTGGACAGATGAACAGCACAAAGGTACAGTAGAGAAAAAGAGATAGATGACTGTAAGTGATGAAAGAAATTCACAAGACTATCAGGTTAATAAGGCAGGCTTAGCATTTCAAACCTTTGGACTTAAGCAAGTTTCCTGAAGTATCAGTACTGTGTTCAGATGTACTGAGAATAAAATATAATTGGTGGGGTTGCAAGGGATGATAACAATCCTTTGCTATGCTTTTAAATTGCTTGCTGCAATAGCCATACTGTGTTTGCACAATGATTTTTTTTTAATTAATCCAGTTTAGACTTCAATGTGCTTAGTTTACAAGCACATAGAAGTCTAAGCTAGTCATAGAACCCCCTTGATTTAACTGACCTCAGTTTAGTTTACTTTGAATGCAAAATCAATTCATATACTGTATACTGCTGTGCATGTCCCAATTGCTATTGTATGCATGCTTCAGATACATAAAACATGCATATATAAAATCCTGTTCAGATTTTGATTATTCTGCTTTAACTTTGTTTATAATATAATGCTCAACGCAACACATTGAAACACAAATTAGCCAACTGTAGTTTCGGGCAGTGTGTTCTGCAGACCTAACCAATGGAATTGAAAAAGAAATTGTGGTCCATAGGATCCTAAAGAATATCCAGAAGAAAACATCTTCCACTGAAGATGTAGCACAGATCGCGGGGCTAAATGCTTGGTATGTTGAATTAGAAGTCTTTGTTTACTCTTCAGAGATCAGTACTATGCAGCCAGTTAAAAAGACTAAACAATCTAGCAACAAGGCATGTTTTATTGTACTATGTGATTGTTATTACAGTTATTGGATATCATTCTGATTTGCAATGGTGATTAACCTTTAAGTAAATCCTAAAATTATTATATTGGATCCCATCTTTAAAATATTTTTTCTGAATTATTTCAAGGATAAGATTAAATAAATAACTGCAAAGACAATAAAAAAGACAAATTACAGGCAAATAAAAAAGAAAGGAAAATAAGAAAGTGTGCACAATGTATACAGAGAATCAACATTAAATAAACACACATAAACCTTTAAAAAATTTTTTGTGAATATTTAATTTGTGAGTTGGGCTGAGAGAGTGAGTGGTCTAAAGTGACACAGCTTTCTAAGAGTGATTGATCCAAAATGATGAAACTGGTCTAAAGGAAGCTTAGAATTGAAGTTTCCTGATTTCTACCCAATATCTTAACTACTAATCCAAATTGGCTATAGGTCCTAAATCACATAAAAGAGTTAAAAGCAAGTTTTGACTTAAAAGAGAAAAATCCCAGCCACAAGTAACTCAAGTATTTTTAATGTCAAATTTAAAATGTTTTATTTATGTTTTATGCTAAAGTCCCTACTTCTTAGGGAAAAGGGGCGAAATTGTGGAAAAAGCAGAATAAGATTTACCAGCGATGCTAAATGGAGTGGGGCTAATAGAAAGTTAAATATAAAGAAAAAGAATGGATACTCAGAAAGCGTTTAGTAATATTCCTCATCCTCCTTAAAATGCATACCCATGTACTCTAGTGTATTTTAACTTGGCAAAATGTAACTGAAAAATTATTCAACTCATCATATACTCTTACAAACAATCATCTACGTTCTTCTATACTGATATGACTATATCCAAATTTTAGGGGGGCGGGGGGGATGGTGACTACGAGGCTGTTTGACCAAATGTAAGGTTTTCACAAAGCCAAAATGTCCAGCAGCTTTCAAATCATGGCCTTGTTTTAAGATGGCCCCCGTAAGGCTAGCTGGGACATATAATTTGGCCCCCACTCATGCTAGACCATCGTGAATAGTACAATCATTTGAGTGGGTTAAAAACCAATCATCCAATTTTAAAGCTTCCTTTAACTATAAGGTTAGATCTTTTGAAAGGTTTCTGGGCTCTGGTGACCATTGGAGCAGCCAGTTGCTTTGTAGGAACAATAGGACAGATCATTTCTGGGCAGACACTTATATTGGGGCAGTCTAGCTAGAGCATCAGCCAAAAAAAAAATTTCCCTGGCAGGTACTTCAATTAAAAATTAAACCGCTTAATATATTGTGCCCAATGAATTTGCTTGGGAGACAATTTTCGAGGGGTTTTCAGGGCCTCTAAGTTTTTATGATCTGTCCACACCTCAGGGGTGTTTTGCTCCTTTGAGAAAATGCCTCCAAGTTAATACCCATCAGACAGTAAACACTTTTTTTCCCAAATAGCCCATCTCCTTTTGGTCTCAGTTTTCAGGAGGTATAAGCACAAGGTTGTAAAGTTCCACTCTCATTTGATTGAAGCAACATCACTCCCACTGCGACATCACTTGCATCAGCCTGGATCACAAAAGGAGCATCCATATCTGGATGCTTAAGCACTGGTTCAACTGCAAACAGTAATTTCAGCTTCTCAAAAGCCAGTTGGCATTCCATGGACCATTCCAACAGTCAATTGGGCTTTGGTTTCAATTCTCCTTTAGTCTTTTGGAGATTTGTAATAGATAATGCAATCTTTCTGAATGTAGGGATAAATTGACGGTAAAAATTAGCAAACCTGCAACCAGAGTCTGCAATTGTTTTCTGCAAGTGGAGCCCATTCCAAAACGGTCTGGACTTTTTCTGGGTACATCTCTATCCCTTCAGCGATATGCGGTAACCCAAATAATCAATTTTCTCTTGGTGATCGCACTTGGACAACTTAGCATACAGTTCAGCTGCCTGAAGTTTTTTCAAAACTGATGGCACCAATTTCACATGCTCCTCCAAGATCTGTATAGATAAGGATGTCATTAAGATAAACCAACACCCCCTTGTATAGATATTCATGAATATGGCAGGGGCTCCTTGCAGACCAAATGGGAATGCGTTAAATTGGAAACCGCCCAAAGGGCAGTTAAATGCAGTTTTCCATTCATCTCTTTCCTTCATTCGGACTTGGTAGTATGCTTCTCTCAAATCAAGCTTAGTGAAAAATTTTCCCTTGGCAAGATGAGCTAACATGTCCTTCATTAAGCGGAGTGGATAAACGTTTTCTACGCAAATTCCATTAAGGTTGTGATAGTCAACACATAGTGAAGAGAGCCATCTTTTCTCGGAACAATATTGGGGCCGCCACTCAAGGCCTGGCAGGCTGGATGAAACCTCACTTAAGGTTTTTATGATAAATGCAATTCCTCCAATTCTCACTGTGTCATTGAATACATTGAATAGGCTTAGGGAGCTTCACCTCTGGCAGAATCTCAATGCTGCAATCTGTGGGGCGATGAGGGGCCAGCACATCTGACACTTTCTCGCTAAAAATCTCCCTTGGGTCCCAATATTCTTCAGAGATTGTTTTTCTCCCACAATGCGTTCACTAGCCGTTGACGCCCACTCCATGGAATTCTGGCGCCTTACAAGAGACAACTTCTCCCCTTCTAATGTTGGTCGGTGCATATGCATAGCAGCCCTTTCCTCCAGTTCACTTGGAGATTCCATTTCCTAAACCAGGGCAATACAAGTAATAAGGGGCACTCCATCCCAGGGGCCACAATAGAACATAAAGTCTCTCAATGTCTTTCCATCGACATTTCCACTGGCTCCATTATAAAATGAGCAGGGCCACCGTCAGCTACTGACCCATCTAGTTGGCAAAAGGCTGTGAGAGTTTTTAAAGTTCTTAGCCTCAATCCCAGTTTCTCCATGACTTCTAAGTTAATTACACATCTAGTATACCCAGAGTCCAGCAGGGCCAACATTCTCCCCCGGGTATCAGAGGTAGGCACCCTTATTTCCCCTGGGATGGTCATGGGGCCCCTTTGTGGATTTAAAAGAGGATTGTCATCGGAGTTGGATTCACTCTTGCCAGCAGGGGTCAGAGTTCCCAGCTCCTCTTTTCCCGGAGGAGCGAACTCAACGACCTCCATCACCTTTAGGGCTGTTCTGCATGGCTTGACTGGATTTTTTTCAAAAAAAATTGCCTCCTGCCGGCATCCCCTTTGTATCCAGCTTAGCATGGCAATCTGCAGCCCAGTGACCTTCCTTCCCATATCAGAAACACATTGTGGTTTTGGGTTTCACAGCCGATCCACCCTTTTGAACTTTAGAGGCCTCTCGGAGGTTGGTAGGAGAGGGCTTGTTCCGGACGGGACCACCCCTGCATCTGTTTCTGGTCAGATTGATTTCCACATCCGCAGCCAACACATATCAGAGCTGTAGGTCTCTAGGATCTCTTCTGGAGATACAGCTTTGATAAACATCTTCCTTCAGCCCATCCTTGAAAGCTTCTATCAGGGCTTCTTGGGATCACCCTCATATATGGCACACCAGCTCTCTGAATTACTGGGTGTATTCAGCCATAGACCTTCGCCCCTGATTTATGGTTTTCATCCTAATCCTAGCCTTGCAATCTTCAAAACATGCGCACAAGGCTGCCATAAAAAGGTCATAGTTCCTCAATAGAGGGGCATCATCATTATGCAGGGTGACTATTTTGCTGCGGTCCCTTCTAATGCTCTGGTGACACATCTCACTTTAGCTGCCTTTGAGGCAAAATCATCCCCATATTCCTCCATATTGTTCCAAACTTGGGCTAGGAAGAATCCCAATTCCTTGGGATCCCTTCCATATTTTGCTTCCAGCGGAGGAACTTTTGGAATTTGGCGCCTCCGTGGTGCTACCCTCTCAGGAGGGGCTTGGGCTATGGCAGCTGCTTGAGCTAGCCAGGGCTGAGCTATGGGAATGGCCAGTGGAGCTCCAATTGCTTCTGCCCCTCTCCTCTCTCCCCCAGGCTCTTCATGGGTCAGAAATTCATACCTTTCTTCAGCTCTACAGTCCTCCATGGCCTCATTAAACAGATGCAATGCTTGGGTCAGCAGAAATTTTTTTCGGTTTTCCTCCTGCCATGCAGCTTCTCCACGCTGGCATCTGGCAGTCATCACCCCAGAGGGGGTTTCTTCTGATAATTTCCATCCCAGAGACCATTTGGGTTGGACCACCGGTTTCTCTTAGATCTGCAACTCCACCAGCAACTTGGCCTCCTTTTGAGTGTCAAGAAGCAGTGAGGCTGAAGTTCCAGCAGCCCCCAGATCTTCTTGATCGCTGGCTGAGTTAGACATTGTTTTCAGACCCCCTAGGAAGATAAAAAAGTAAATCTCCAGGTGGGCTGGTAAAAACAGAGTTCTTGTATAATGTCAGGTGTAGCTCCATTCAAAATCAAAGAAAACCATTGTTATAGAGAAAAGGACATTTACTGAATTTGAAGTGGTAGCATCAGAAGAAATCACATATAGAAAATTATCCTATGTCTCCACCCCCAATAGTTCAAACTGGCCATCCAATCTGAGGTGGGTTTAATGTCATGTGGGTGCATCTTTAGGTGGTATTTCACATATCTGGTAGGCATCTATATACATCTGCACAGTAAGCAAGTAAACATAATCAAGAAAGTATTCCAACTTTTTATAATTTATCAACTTCATCCTTCAGCACCTTTTCCCTCACGAGGCCCAATTATTCTTCCCTCCCCCGTATCTACGGCAGCTGGAAAGAGACAAGCAGAAGAAAATTCTTGGAGGCTGACAGTTGTGTTTATTTCTTTCAAGAAAATGAGTTCAAAATACTGCTTTCTGGGATTTAAGGATCTCAGTAATGATGATTCCTTGAATTAAAAACTTGGGACTTTAGCATAAAATATAAATAAAATATTTTAAGTTTTTAAAATGACATTAAAAGTTTGTGGCTGAGGTTTTTCTTTCTGAACTCAAAAACTTGCTTTTAAGTCCCTAAGTCCTTCCTCACTGGTTAAGTGATATTTAACCTTGATCTTACAAATAAGAATTTGCTATAAAAGGTAGTCCTCGATTTACAACAGTTTCATTTAGGGACTGTTCAAATTTATAACAGGATTGAAAAAAGTGATCTATGACCATTTTTTCACGTGTTTCCCCCCAAAATAAGACCCTTCACCTCACTTGCACGCGTTGCTCCCGGCCTCCTTTTTGCTGTCAGAGGCCTTCAGGAACTTCTTCAGCTGGCAAGAAAAACAAGGCTTTCCTTCAGGAAAGGCCTTTAGGAAAGAAGGCCTCTGTAGCTGATAACAGAGCTTCAGTAAAGTCTTGCCAGCTGCAGAGGAAATGGGTCAAGGTGTGCGAGGCCTGGCTATAACTATCTGAAGGTAAGTAGTAGGGGAGTCCACCCCTCCATCCCCACCCTAGCTTAATTGTTACCCATGTAACCTGGAGTGGGCAAGGTCTTTAGGGCTTATTTTGGGGGCAGGGCTTATATTGGGCGCATGTAAAAAATCAAGGTAGGACTAACTTTCCGAATAGGTCGTATTTTCGGGGACACGATATTACAGTATCCCCATGGTCTTATGATCAAAATTGAGACATATTGCAATTGACTATATTATGGTTGCAGTGTCCTAGGGTCATGTGATCATCTTTTGTGATCCGAGAGGCAAGGTCAATGGGGAAACCAGATTCATTTAACAATTGCTAACTTAATAACTTCAATAAATTCACTTAAGTGTGGCAAGAAAGATAAAATAGGGCAAAACTCACTTAGCAACAGAAATTTTGGGCTATGGTAGTTGTAACTCAAGGACTACCTATATTAGAGCTCCTGGTATGGGCTTTCAGCACACCATGTTTAATCTAAACTGTGAAAGCCATCTTGCACTATGAATGTAAATTAGAACATAGAAAATCCTATCAAAAATAAGTTATAAAATTATTTTATTCCATTGTCCTTTTGAAAGCCTATGAACTAACATTCCAGTTTATGCCACATGGACAATTATGTCACATGAACATTGACATAACATGAACAGTAGTTGCAAGACCCCCAGAGTTATTTAAAATGGGCAGCCATACAAATCTTATTATTTAAATAAACAAATCTATCTAGAAACCAAACTGCCTGTTAAAAGTAATGATCAGAGTAGGATATTTTTCTCTTTCTCATCCTCTTTCAAAGCCTCATCTCATTTTGCCTAATCTTATGAAATTGGTAGAATGAGTCATAGTTACCAACTTTACATTTGCTTCCGTTGAAAGGGTAACAATTGTTGATGAAGAACTATTGATGAAGATGGCAAATCTAGATGAAATGTGTTCCTCTAGATTTGCCATCTAGGATGTCTGTGCCTACTGAAGGAACTAATTGTAATTTTGGTTGTATTTCTTATAAACATGCTTCTTTTATGGATGTAGGAAACATTGGTGAGCCATTTTATTTTTATAGTCTACTTGGATCCATATTGATCCTTCTACTTGTGGCTTTGCTAATTGATCAACATCACTCTTTAGCAACTGAACTACTTTTTTGAAGAACTAAATGGGTATTGGGTAGGCTAATACTTGATATGGACAAGCATGGTGTTATTGGGGTAGTGGAGGAGAAGAGGTAATTCCAAATGCACGGGGATATTTGTATTCCCCATTTCCTTCATTTTGATAATCGTCATCTCTACGTTTCAAATTTATCTCCACAACTGTAAAATCTAGTTATTTGCTTTTAGAATATTTTCCACATACAGAATTCCATGAATAAGTTGTCATAATTAGAATGTAATTGCTGCTTAGGAATTTAAAATAGATATTTGTAAAATGTGTCAAAGCCAATATTACCATTTTTTTTAGTTTATTACATACAACAAATGTGTAAGCACCATAAAACAATGCATATATTTTTATATTGATGCTCATAATTTGTAAAAACTTTTGCTTAAATTCTGTCTTGCAGTTATTTGGCTGATTGTTTCTATTATGAGGTAGCAGAAGGTCAGAATATATTTTTTTCCTTTCCAGATGTGATAAATATGCCCCAAAATAGTCCTACTAAGTATTGATGGCATCACTGTCAAATTATCTCAAATATGTTGCATTTTTTTTCATTCTAATAGTTTTTACACTACTTTTCTAACCCAACTTTCTTTTTATTGTTCTGATATCTGCTAGGTCCACTAGCAAAAAAATGCTTAAGATAGATTCACTTAAATAAATACTTTAGTTGTAGATAAAATTCTGTACTCTACTTTTATGCTGTGAATAATTTTAACTGAGACTAGTATATTATGACACATTCTGTACTAATATCTCTTTCTTGCACACACTATAAATCTTAGTATTGAAAAACAGTTTAGATTATTAATTGATTAACCAAACTTTTTTTTCCAGATTTAGAGACAGTATGGCTGCCACTGCTGCAGTAAGCCCCAGTGATTACTTACAGCCTGCTGCTTCAGCAGCTCAGGTGGGTTGTTTCTGTTGATGGCATTGCTTCATTTATATATCTACTCTCTGATGAAAGAGTTTACTATAGAAAAGAATTAGTTTACCTAAAAAGTCCAGGGATTAATGCAAATGATGTTATTATGCTTCAAATTCTAATGCTGTTCTTGAGCATAACTTTATATTATAATACTGTGTAAGATGTTTGCATGCTGTAGTCAGTGTTTTAGGTTCTTGTGTTGATATTCCAGTATGGATTATTAGGCATTATACTGTTTGATATACATATGTAAACATATTTGGAACAACATGTTGTGATATTTGCCAATGTTAAAAACTTTGTCTCGAAATGGTTTGGTGGACTAAGCAATTGCTTGATTTTTTTAAAGACTTCTTGCATGTAAAAATATGTGTAATTTGGCAGAGCAAATGAGAAAGTATATGTGGCAGAAGTGAAAAAAATGAGAGAACAGTTGAGTTTTTTTACATATATTGTTATTCACAAGTGGCAGCATCTACTAAAAAAAAGTTTACACTTGATTAATACGTAAATTGAGTCCCTCAGACATTCCTAGGGCTATAGGTTAAACTAGAAAGTTGAAAAAAAAATCCCAAAAGAAGAGAGTGACAAACCAGTTCTCTTTCATGTTCAAGAAAATTATTCTTGGCGTGTCCAAAGATTCAGCTGGGATTGCCCTCAACCCAAGTATATAATTTAGGACCAATAAAAGATGTATAATTCACTTATCAAGACTACAAGTAGTATAGATGATTTGGATATTTGTTGGAGAGTAACATAGGTAAAAATTTATGGCTACTAATCAGTATATTTATAAATGGAATTTTCAGAGAAATAGGAGTGTGCATGCTTTGAAAATGATCTAGAAGATACATTTCCAAAAGTGCTGGATCATGAATTCAGTATCTCTTTGAAGTAGCTGTGTCTTCTTCGGCTTCCATGCGAGCTTGAAAAGAGGCACAACTGCTTTAAGTTCTGCACCCTTAATGCAACTCCTTAAAGTAGCCACATTTGTTTTCAAGCTTGAGCAGAACTCTGAAAGTTTAAAAAGATGCTATACTACACAACCTGAAGCACATCTTCAATATCATTTTTGAAGCAAGAAGTATGCACAGTTTTAATGATTAACGATCATTGAAAACACACAGAAGGATTCACAAGGTCAATGCAATAATTTCTCTTAGGAACATAGAAAATATGAGATTATGAACTCTCATAATAACATAAAACTCTCTGTTTTATAAAGAATCAAGTTAATAAAAGCATTGTAATGAAAAATGTTTCTTTGCTTTTTTCCCATAAAAGAAAGTTTCCAGTTTTAACTAGGACAATAACTCATTTATGAATCTTTCAGAGGAAAGATTCATGAGAAAGCATGTTGACTACAAAATCTGGTAGAAAATAAAAATATTTTCTTTTATATGCTATTGGCTACCAGAGAAGATTTTTCTATGAAACAGCTTTCAGGTATCTTAAGAGGCTCCCTTTCACAAAGCAAAATCAAGAATACTTTTCATTAAATATAGCTTCCATCCCACTGCCTTCGGCAGAAACATCTAAGATGTTCTATATCATCATTGTATCATCCCAAAGGTTTAGACTTTAGTTTGTTTCTGAAAATATTCCTTAAGTCTACTTTCTTAGAGATTTAGTAGGACTCTAAATTCTATATTTTGAAATGTAGATGCATTAAGAAATAATTGCATCATAATGAAGAAATGGTTGGGAAAGGGATAGCATTTTTTTTTTCTTACATGCATACCCATTCATCTGTTTCCATCATGGTAAGCATTATTATTCAAAGCAAGAAAAGGAAATAACACATAGCCAAATATATTTAAGTCATAAGAAAAAAAGAATAAAATATGATTAAATGTAGTTTATACCCCTACCATTTACTATATTCTTTCTGCCCTTGGAAATTCATCATGTCCACACATGACTTTGTTCTTTGGCTTTTATTTTTTAAAATCCTCACTTTTTAAAAGAACTTATCAACTGCAACCAGCCCCAGTTTCTCAGGGTTTTTCTTCTATGCAGCTGTGATGACCCGTAGTCTCTCAAAATAACCCAAAACTCAAAACATACATTAAAGTCCGGTAAAGCCTTCAACTTAACTTCACTGTTTTATTAGGCACAGTTTAAAGTCACAAAAGTAAATAAGGAGGCAAACAGAAAACCCAAACAAACCGCATTGATGAGAGTTCCGAAGCAAGCCAAGATAACTAATCATAAACTCCAGGAAAATAACCGAGAAAAGCCCATGAGAAGAACGCCAGCAAAGATAAACCTCTTTCAAGGTGAACACTAAATTAACTCCTGCAAATTCTAACGGCGCAGTTGTAAACTTATATACATAGCTCCCACCTGCAAGCCATGAGGAGGATCATGGTAATCTCCTCTTGAATAGACCTCACTTTTCCCTGATCCTCTCTTCCCTGCGTGACCTAGGATGGATAGGGGATGGGCCTGGATCCTTCTCTAACTGCTCAGCCGGCCTCTGCCCTTCCCCAGCCTCCTCCACCATCTCTGGAGCCACACTCCAAATCTCTGTTGCCTGTTCTTCTTCCTCAGAGTCAGTCTCCACCAGGGGCATGACAGCAGCTGATTTATTATTACTTTATATGTTCCCCAGATTAATCAGTTCTAATTTTTTTTTCTCCAGGAACAAACTAGAAGAATGTATTTTTTAGACTTGCCACTCATTTTTGTATCCAGTCCTTATTCATTCATCATCACCTAATAATTTCTGACCCTATTTTGTTTTACAATAATACGTACTGTGTTCTGTATTTGCCCTGCATTCAAGTTACTTTTTAACCTGACATATCAGCCTTTCGCTTTCATAAACCAAGCTGAGCAGAAACGAAGTCCTAGACACAGCTATGTTTTCTTCTTTTTACAAATTCTCCTGATAATAAATTACCTGTTACTGTCCTACTAACGTTTATTTGTATGTCCTAACAATTTCATTGTCCATTTTCTAATCTTTGTAATTATTCTACCAAACTATATAAATTCATTAATTTACTCCAGCTTTTTTGGCATTGCATATAATTAACTATTAATCATTCCATTTTACCTGTCAAATACCATTGCCTTGATCTTCATTATTTTTTTCACTGCAGTATACCGTATATTTGCTAATGCATTCCTTATCAATTTATTCATAAATACATTAAACAACCAAGAAAACATCGTTTATTCTTCTCTTATTCAGGACTGAACCATTTGCTATGTATTCCATTTATTCTCTTGCATACATTTGTTAGATAATATATCCTCTCACTGCATTTAACAAATAACCTTAAACTCTGTATTTGTGCGAAACATTATATTCAGTCTGCATATTCACTTTATTAGACATCTCTGTAAATTAATGAATGCACAATAAACTTTCTTACTTTAACATATTTCACAATTACTTACCAAATACCAGTACTCAGGTCAGAATACTCCTACCTAACATAAGAACATTTTGTTTCCCAAATTTTGTTCATTGTTACCTCTTGCATCAACTTAATTATAATTCTGCCGAACACTTTTCTGGGCACACTTAACAGATAGTTTCTGCATTTACTCTTGTTCCCTTTCTCTTTATAGAGGGAATAATAAGACATTGTTCCAATCATCAGATGGAGTTTCAGTCTTTCTACACGCACGCACATGGACAACACACACGGTTGCATAGCTACTCCTTAAATAATTGCAACCTTAGATTTAAGCATAGGCACAGCATTCATGGCATCTCTCTATTACTTTTTTTTTGACATTAACATTTAGCATTCATTGCAACTTCACGCCTTGGTACATCACTGGTTTCACTTTATGCATGTTTAGCCCTCTTCACTTTCAGAATCACTCTATATTTCCTGTGCCTCTTAATCTTAACCAGTCCTTATTTTCTTTGACTTACCTTGTTAGCAACTGTATTTTCCTATACATTGTAGTAATGCTTCTCTCAAAAACTGTCTTTTCTATGCATTTTTTATTCTTTCCAACCTAGTAAAATGTTGGAAAAAATTATATAAAGTGGCCAACAAATCAGGTTTTAACTCTTCTCTGGATGGTCATCAAAGGAAAGCAATTACTAAGAGTGCTGAGCTTAGTGCTCCTTCTTCATACCTCCTGATAGGACAGGACCTCCATCAGGCATTCCCTATTCTCCTGGATTGAACAGATGGTCTATCCATCCAAAACATAAACCTGTAAAAAACTAAACAGAAAGAAACAAAATTCATCATTCTTTTTTAAAAAAAGAGCCCTATCTGGCTTGGGGCTGCAGAGAAGTTTATAATCCTTAACCTTGTTGGAGAGGCAGTTGGGCAGCAACTAAGAATGCTGCTGATTGCTCCATTCTAAGTTCTTATTCCTTCTGATCAGGTGACCCAGAATGGAGCATGTGAAGCCTGCAAACCCAGATGCGATAAAAAGGAAAAACAGAAAACTGCATGCACAAACAGAACATGTTATTTCATTACATAAAAGAAAATATGGATGCTTTCTTCTGATAAAGGATTTTAAACAAAATAATTAAGAACTCTTCATCCACATGCTTTCTCTAATTTATTTTGTTGTCTACATTCTATATTCCCTTCATTTTACCACTAAGCATTGTTTAAATACTTCCAGTGGGAAACTTAACCGACTTCTGCAATATTTGTCACATAATTTTACTTCCCTATATCCATTTGGCTGTAACTTTTTCTTTGTGGCAGAATTAAATAAAACTTACAGAGCATTATGAGAGATCACAGTGTAACTGTAAAATACAGCAGCATGCAGCAGGCCAGGTCTCAATAAAAAGATTTAATCTACTCTCAAGCTAGGAAAGGATTGCCTTATCTATTTTCCTATATTATAGGTTAGAAAAAAAGAGAGATCCTTCATCCTTGCCACAAAGGAAGTGGACAATGTTAGGAGAAGTCTGCTGCTTATTTACTTCATATAAATGAATGTATTTTTTTTTCTTTTTGATAAAAATCAGCTTCAAATCATTAGTTCCTTGAGAGAACTAGTGGACTATCTTCTAAATCTGTTCTGTCTTGGCATCCAAGCTCCATTCGAAGTCAGTGAATGACCACCATTATGTACAATGACGATATCACTTCTTACTGTGTATGAGTCTTACAGAGTACTAATTTTTGTTTATAAAGTGTTTATCACAGATATTCAGTTTGAGGTTTGATTGCTGAAAATGGTAAAAGTATTAAATGCAGAATGAATACAAAAATAAGAATTAATAATGATAGTTTTTAAAGTATTTGGGAATGCTTCATTTCTCCCTTGTATGGGTTTTATATACAGAATATTTTGGATCTCTCAAACTATCATATACATTTATAATTCATATTTTGAATACATGTTACCTGGAATGTTTGCAGAACTCATATTCAGTGGAATAGATCCTAAACTAGTCAAGTTTTAGTTCTTTTGCACTTGATGAGCCTATGGCACCTCACAATTAGTCTGGATCCAATTATGTTGATACTTGTTGATTTAAGAATATGATATGCTATTTTAATACAAAGTCAAAACTCTGTATTATAAAAATCTGGGTTTTCTCATTCTTCTGGGTTGTATTATATTGGAACAAACTATTTTTGTCTTCTGCTTTTGACCCAAGCCTTTTCTCTTCCATTCTTGTAGGATTCTCAGCCATCTCCATTAGCCCTTCTTGCAGCCACATGTAGCAAAATTGGTCCTCCAGCTGTAGAAGCAGCAATTACTTCTCCTGCTCCTCCTCAACCTGCCCCTCGGAAATTGGTTCCTATTAAACCTGCTCCACTCCCATTAAGTTCTAATAAGAACAGCATTGGAATCCTATCGTCAAAAGGAAATCTCTTTCAAATACAAGGTTCCCAACTGGGGACATCATATCCTGGTGGACAGCTAGTTTTTACAATCCAGAACCCAACTGTAATCAGCAAAGGAACCCGCTCTCCTGCCAATATCCAGTATCAGACGGTACCACAGATCCAAACAGCATCAGGACAGACGATTCAGGTGCAGCAAAATTTGGGCAATCAAATACAGATTATTCCCAGCAATATCACCCCTTCTTCTTCCTCTTCATCATCATCGTCCTCTACTTCAGCTCATAAGCCTGTGCCAATAAAGCCAGCTCCAGCTCATAAGTCATCAGCATCCAGTCTCCACAACACAAGTAGTGTTGTCAAGTTAACTGGCACCAGTGGCAATGTTACACTTACTCTTCCAGTGAGCAATCTTGTAACTGCTGGGGAGACTAGTTCTCAAAGTCAAGTTGTGCCCGACAGCCCCTCTAAACCAAGCAGAAAATCCCGAAAGAAAATGGTATCACAAGCTCAGACAACTGCAATGGCTATGGCAGAGCAAGTGGAAACAGTCTTAATAGAGACTACAGCTGACAACATTATCCAGGCAGGGAACAATCTGTTGATTGTGCAGAGTCCTGGCTCTGGGCAGCCAGCTGTGGTCCAACAGGTGCAAGTAGTTCAGCCCAAACAGGAGCAACAGGTAGTTCAGATACCACAGCAAGCCCTACGGGTAGTCCAGGCAGCTTCAGCCACACTCCCTACAGTTCCCCAAAAGTCCCAACAAAACTTCCAGATCCAGACAACGGAGCCAGTTCCCACTCAGGTATTTCATTGAAAGTTCTCCCCCACCCCTTTTAAAAAAAAATAAATATTTTTATTAGTTAAAACTATCACTCAATTTGGAGTTACCAAGTAATACATAATTACTAGAATTCCTGGGGACAAATAGGCTAGGGGTTCTAATAGAAAAAACAACTTGTCCAATTACTTTTTTTCCGTATAAATATGTTTTTTGAATGCCAGTTTCCTATAAAAGCATTCAAGAGATATAAACAATTTGGCATACATTTATTTTGGTACAGTGATTTATAATCTATCAGAACTTGGGGGAGGGGAAAGGTTGGGAAGGTCTGCTTGAGTCAAATTCTACATTCCTTCCATACACAGGGGCATCCTGTGATTCACTTTTGTGTCACTTTTTTTTAGGTCTATTTTAAGACACCTACTGGTGAACTACAGACAATCCTGCTCCAAGAAGCCTCAGGAGGGGGCCTAAGTATGGGCCCTGCCCCTGCGGTCTCCTCAGCCACAACCTGCAGCAGCCCTGTACCCCGCAGTTCCCAGTCAGGGGGGAGTACCAAAAAGACGGGGGCTCGTAAAGAGCGTGCTCTGCCAAAGATCGCCCCTGCTGGAGGCATCATCAGCCTGAACGCTGCCCAGCTTGCTGCGGCTGCCCAGGCAATGCAAACTATCAGCATCAATGGTGTGCAGGTTCAAGGTGTTCCTGTTACCATCACCAATACCGGAGGTGGGAAATACAATGTAACAAACCTGTGATGTGCAATATTTCAATTTGTGATATAATAATACCTTCATTTTTTAAATTTCTTGTTCTAGTGTCAGTAACAAAGAAGAGTAATGCATAAGTAGGGTTATGTATATATCTACAGAAATTATATGACCATATCTTCATAATGATTCTAGACTGCTCATAACAATTAAAAAAACACCCAAAGTATTCTTCCTCAAAGGTGCTAGACCAAACAAGCCCCCAGTTCAAATTCCATCCTGGCCTAATTCTTGGGGAAAGAGCCAGGTCTTGATGAATGGACACCCTTGAAGAAAAGTGTAAAGCATTTTGTGTTCATTTTAACATTTGTACTCCCAAAGACTGATTTCTTCTTGCTTCACTCTAATAATAGGGGACATGTCAAAATACAATTGCAGTTTATATCACTATGCTATCATTACTGGGAAATGGCTTGCTTATTTTCAGAGTAATTGTAATTTGTAATCATAAACATTGCATTCTTTCTGTTCTGTATATTGGTGGTTGCTGGGGAGATGGCAGTGAAGGACTCCATATTTTCTATCTTCCTGAGGGTGGGAAAGGTATGAAAACTCCCTCATAATGTAGCAAATTTGAAAATGTGTATTGGAGTGGGATAACAATATTGTAGAGAGAAGTAAACACAGTAATAATATAAATGTTGGTACGTAATTTAGGAAGAGAAGTTGGGCTTCTGGAGCCAGGCAAGAAGGAAACGTTGGAACCTTAAACTGGGTTTTATTTCAAGCCTTGTGCAATAAAAGGCAACAAGAAAAAATGGAACTCATATTACATGGTATTTTAATCTGTATTTGCCTAGAGATTTCCTGGAATAATTGAGTCCTCATATTTTAACAGTGGAAATTGTCAAGCCATAGTTTCTTGATCTTTCTTTCTGTAGGCCAACAGCAGTTAACAGTGCAGAATGTTTCAGGCAACAATCTAACCATCAGTGGCCTGAACCCTACCCAAATCCAATTGCAAATGGAACAAGCACTCTTGGGGGACCTGCAGCCTGGGGAAAAGAGACGGCGAATGGCTTGCACTTGCCCGAATTGCAAGGATGGGGAGAAAAGGTAATGTGTGAGGGATTGGGAACAAAAAGGAGCATTAAACCCAAAGGCTGCCAACTTCAGTTCCTGCTTTATATAATTATTTAATTCACATCCTTCCCCTTTTGCTATCAATAAATAGTATTCAGTCCTTTATAACAATAAAAGCAGCATTTTAAACATGGATAACCCCTACTGAACAAACCAATTTAGTAGAATCCTTGCTTGCTTTTTATGTGAGATTAAGGAAATTTCCTTGAATCAGTTTTAAAACTATTACAGATATTTGGGAAGGGGGTGAATATATGTAAATATTAAAACAAATAAGAATATTAAGACTACTAACAGTCTTTGGGCATTCAAAACTGTATTGCCTGCCTCTACATGGAAGAGTCAAATGAGTATGAGCCCATCAGTGTCATCTCTGCCCTCATTGTCAGTTTTCTAGTTTATCTGAGAACCTCCTTTATCTACAGATATTTTTACAGTAATAAGATTGTGAATCTTGTGAAGTCAGAATTTAAAATACCAAGATAAAGTGTCATAATGTTTTCTGATGCATTTACTCCTTTAGATATACAAGTTTTAAAAATGGATATTGTTAATGCATATCTTCCTGTTCCATTAGTTGCCTACAAAAAACTGCATAGGTTTGAGCATAGCCTGTGGTAAAGTGATTAACATGTAGGTGATTAAAAGATAGATTTTCCATCAAGCAGGAAACAAATCATTAAGTATGAAAGATATTCTATAATAATCATATTTTATTGTCTAGTTGTTAAATTATTATCTGAGGAAAGCTGTTCAGAAGAAACAGTGTTCTTGTTTTCTTGTCCAGAGATTGTTTGGCATCCTACAATGTCTTCAGCCTTTTAGAAATATAGTACCAATAATTGAATATGTCTACGTTGTCTCCTATAATACTTTTTGCAGTTTTTTATGTTAAATAAAATAACTGCATGAAGAAGAGACAGGGTTATTCCCAAATTGCTTACCTCTGAGAAAACTGAAATAGTATTGTTATCTGGGACAGTACAGAGATATTCATCGTAATGGATGGGCTTAGTAATGTTTTTGTATTGTATTTAACAGAAAGACTTGGAGTTTTGTCTGGTTTTTTTTTCAGAACCAAGCTGATCAGATTATTAAAAAGGATCAGTTCAGTGGCAGAAAACAAATAGTTTCTTTCACATTGCACTTGATTATTATCTTAAGCAGGTTGAATTGAAGGGAATGAACCTGCTTTCTGAAATTCTGTGATTCTGTCTGTGGGTGATGTTTGAATTGATGTAAACTTGTATCCATATGCATATGTATAAAATTAACTATTGACGTGATCTCAGAGCTGAAAAGGTTGTACCTTCCTTGCTAAATTGAGCGACAGGTCTGAAATTATTGATAGATTAATGGATTGGGGTTGACTTATTCAAGCAGTGATGTGTTTTTGCTTGGAAGACTGAAATGGATTCTTGGTAAATGCCAGAAGAGCCAATGTATTTTTATAAAAAGTACTTGTGAATCATTGTTGGATCCTTTCCCAGAAGCTATATGGGATAATCAATATGAAATTAGTTTGATGTTTTCAACGATTTTGATTAGTTCTGCTTCTTGAGTCGTCATTGCAGGATACCATAATTGATCTGATCCCTGAGATGCCACCACAGTAAAATCCAGCAAATATATCAATATCTTTATTAATCTAGATTAAAAGAACCCCTTTTCTGTTTTTCTTTCTTTGTAGGTTGGGGGATCAAGGGAAGAAGAGGCACATCTGCCATGTGCCTGAATGTGGAAAGACCTTCCGCAAGACTTCCCTTCTGCGGGCCCACGTACGTTTACACACAGGCGAGAGGCCTTTTGCCTGCAATTGGGTCTTTTGTGGAAAAAGATTCACACGCAGTGATGAACTGCAACGGCATGCCCGAACACATACAGGTCTGTCAAGTCATTTCTCTGCTTTTCTCTTCTGTTGTATCCCAGCTGGATAGGGGGGAAATGTGAATACTAAACACTTAAAAGGCATTTCATCTTAACTTGGTTACCTTTATAATAAAGATGTGCTGAGTTGTTTTAATGCTGAAAGACTTGATTTCAAAAAAGAATGAAATCATTAAAGTTAATTTAGATAAGTCATAAATTAAATATGGCCATCTCCCTCTAAAACAGTAGTTCTGGTTGGGTAACAGAATTGAAGGCACATATAAAATCAAGAAAAACAATTGCAATTGCATCAATCACATGGGCCCTTAACCTTGTGATCTCCAACCTAGGAAAATAGCCATGTTTTTAAGAGATACTAGCAGACTTGGATATTGGAAAGTGTGATGTTCCTTGGGGCAGGTGTTGCACCAAAAATGCCTGCTCCGTGGTCTCATTTGATGACACTCTGTAATAAACAGAATCTGGAGCATGCCTTTCCCATTGTACCATGTTTCTCCAACAATACGGCCTCCCCCAATAGGAAGTCCCAGCATGTTTTATTGGCATAAAATCAAATTAAGCCCCTCCCCCAAATTAAGGCCTACATTAAACATGTGAAATGGGGGGGTGGCGGGGGGAGCTTGCCGTTAGGAAGTACTTTTGTTGCATACCCGGATATGGTGCTACCTGCGTTGACTTTGGCGTTGGTGGGGCACTTCGTATCAGGAGACCTTCCGCCACTGTTGCTTTCCCTTCTCCCATGCTGCCGCGGCATTTAGAGCAACGCCGCAGTGTTTGGCACAGCCACGCGCAGCCAGTCAGGGCTCCTCCCTGCAACTGGAGCCCGGCGGAGACACTCAGCTTCAGGCGCTCCTGTTGCCACCTTCCCTTTGCCTTCGAAGGCAAAGCCAATTCTTTTAAAAACAATGCCTCCCCTACCCAAGAGGGCAGCCCAAACCCACGTGGGGAAATGAATCTCCCGGGGCTGCAGCGCAGGATCGGCCCACACCGGGAGAAGCGTTCAGCCACCATCCCTGCCTGACATCGGGCAGAGTGCAAAGAGCTTCACCTGGGGTGCCCAGCACAGCTGACAGGCAGGCCCTCCTGCCTGGCGGTGGAGCTCTCACCAAAGCAGCGTGTGCCTCGCTGCCAGGCCCTCCGCTCATCCCGCCAGGGCCGCGCCAGAGCCATGCGGGCTGGGCAGAGCCAGGGAAGTGAGCCGCGGTACGCACCCGCCTGCCATGCAAAAGAGCCGTGCCGACCCGAGCTTGGGTTCCTTCCCAAGTCCCTCCAGCCCGAACCGAAGGGGCCACCAGGAGAGGCCGCCTGAGGCAGTGATAGCACCCACCCATCCGTGGACAGGGAGGCAAAGCGACGGCCTGTGCTGCGTCCTCCTCCACTATCACTGTCTCGGGTAGCCTCTCCCGGTGGCCCTTCGGGTTCGGGCTGAAGGGACTTGGGAAGGAAGCCAAGCTCGTGTCGGCCGGGCTCTTTTGCTTGGCAGGCGGGCACACACCTGCGGCTCGCTTTCCTGGCTCTGCCCAGCCCGCACGGCTCTGGCGCGGCCCTGGTGGGATGAGCGGAGGGCCTGGCGGGGAGGTGCTCGCTACTTTGGTGAGAGCTCCACCACCGGGCAGGAGGGCCCGCCTGTCAGCTGTGCTGGGCGCCCCAGACGAAGCTCTTCGCGCTCTGCCTGGTGCCAGGCAGGGATGGCAGCGGGTGCTTCTCCCGGGGTGGGCCGTTCCTGCGCTGCAGCCCCAGGAGATTTGCCTCCCCACGTGGGGTTGGGCTGTCCTTTCGGGCAGGGGAGGCGTCGTTTTTAAAAGAATTGGCTTTGCCTTCGAAAGTGAAGGGAAGGCGGCAACAGGAGCGCCTGAAGCTGGGTGTCTCTGCTGGGCTCCAGTTGCAGGGAGGAGCCCTGGCTGGCTGTGCGTGGCTGCGCTAAATGCGCGGCAGCACAGGAGAAGGGAAAGCAACAGTGGCGGAAGGTCACCCAATACGAAGTGCCCCACCAACACCGAGGTCAACATCCAAGCCGTCGCCGCCTGCCCACCTGAGGATGCGGGGGGGGGGGATTAAGTCACCCCCCCAAAAAAAGACGGCCTAGCTGTTTTTTCGGGGGTCAAAAAAAAATAAGGCCCGGCCTTATTTTGAGAGAAACACAGTATTAGTGTGGTGGATAGAAGTAATGAGAGGAAGTCTTAGAAATACTGTAGTCCTATACTATGAAGGGCTTTATAGGTGATAATATGAAGGGCTTTATAGGTGATTCTATACCTTGAATTGTACTTCAAAGCACACTAAAAGCTATTATACTTGTTACGATATGTACAGACTAACCCTTGAATAACAAGGATATGTACATGGAAACGTTTATGAGAGTAGTTATGAATAATTATCCAGCCACACACAGCCATACACTGAATTGAATTAAAGTTTACTTTAAGAAATAGCACAGTCCAACAAACGGTCCAGGTCATATCCAATTCCAGCCCAAAGAATATCCAATTACAAAATTCTTCTTACTGGTTGCCTTTGTCATTTCCAGTAAACAAAAATATCAAAGTATGAGCACAGCATAAACCTTAGATAGCAACAGAATGTCAGAGAGACAGAATGTCAGGGAGAGCAAGCCATGATCTCTAGCTCCCTCTTATGGCAATCTGCAATACAATCAACCAATCGGAACACAGTACAAATCAATACAGTGATTTTGTCTTAAAGCTACAAAACATACATTGTTGGTTTATATATTGCCAACCCAACTAATTGTTGGACAGATTCCTAGCAATACTTTTAGTGTAATTACGCTAGAAATATAATAATTTCTAGTATGCTTTGAAGTACAATTCAAGGGGTGTCTGTCTGTCTGTCTATCTATAATTTTCCCCCTTTGTTGTGTTCGTATTCACATTTTTATGTGGAGGAGCACATCAGTATGAGATATCTCTTGAGGGCCCTCGTGATGCAGGAGTTTCTGTGCTGTTAATCTAGCCAATAGTGAGTTAGAATCAGTTCTTCCTAGTTAAAGAGGCCAGGGAGACTTGTGGTTGAGCTGTGATGAAAATTTCTATGAGTTGGGGGAGATGGTACCTTCAGCCTTGAATTGGGCAGTGGTTTGTCCCCCACCTTAAACACCCAACCTTGAACCCAACAATATAAGATAGCTGTCTCTAGTCTTCTCTTGTAAGGAAAGTTGTTGAGATGGTAATTGGACTGCAGTTGCAGAGGACCCTGGAGGAAGCAGCTTATCTAGACCCATTTTAGCTGTGTTTTAGGTCAGAATTTAGTATACCAATAACCTTGGTCACACTTGTAGATGATATGGGGTCGATCTGGATGGAGATAATGCATCCATTGTTGAATTCAGTGGTGAGTTTCACTACCATTGATCATGGCAGCATCTGGACTAGTTTTAAAAGTTGGTTGCACTGTTTTGCAATGGTTATTTTTCTTCCTTTGAGGCCTGTTCCAGTTGGTGTGCTGGTGAGGACAGGTTGTTCCCTAGGTCCCTCCTTTGTGGATGCCATTGAGTTTAATGTTCCCTTTCCTTTTGTTGAGTGAATTATTAAATTATTGTGCCACCCATGTCCCCTAAAAGGTAACTGTTGTGGAATACTCCATCTTTAATCTTGGATGGGTTTGCAGTTTTTCCATTTATGAACGGAACCCACTTTGGGGATCGACCTGGACTCACAGTTCCTGAAGTGCTACAAAGGCCTTTGCATAATTCCAACTGGGGCACCCATTGCATATATTTTTGCATCAGGAATCCCTTCAGACAATCTCCCTAGGTACCTCATGACTTACTGTAAATATTGTGATGTACTCCATAGGCTACCCTGTACTCCATAGGCTATCCTAGAAGCTTTAAATGTTTGAGAATAGAAGATTGCTAGGCGCACAGTTAGAATTCATATCCTGTATCCTAGATTGTTTTTAGTATTCTCCACTTTATCTCATGATCTGCTCATTTACATTTCACAGTCCAATTGTTCTGTTATGGTACTGACGTGTTCAGCTTTCTTTAATTGCAGTGGCCATCATTCCATCTCCATTGTTCATAAAATACTTAACCTTAACTAGAAACTCACACATTTCAGTCTGGGTGGAAAATCGTTCCAATATTGAATCAGATTACCTATGTCTAGCATTCTGGTTTTAAAAGTGGTTTATCAGATGCCTACAGGCAGCACCTGAACCTTCATCCTTGCCATGCATTTTTACATGAGTTTTACGTTTAGATTTTATTGGGGAAGGGGGGAGATTGGTTCAATCATATCCAATTCTTAGAACAATCCCTGCAATGGGGGACTTGGCAAGGTTTTTTGGAAGTGTTTGCCATTATCTCCTTAATAAGGCTAAGAAAGACTGGCCTAAGATTACCTAGCTGGTTTTGTGCCTAAGATGAGACCAGGTCTTACTGTCTCCATCTTTTAGCCCTAATCACCATACAAAACTGGGTCTTAGTTTTAGTTCTGGATTTAGTTTTATCATGTACCTGATTTTTTAAAAAAGCGATCTCTGTAAGCTATTTGTGCATTAGCTTTTTATTATATGGTTGTTGTCATTTGTGCTCATTGTTGTTGTTCCTTTCCCTGATCAGGTGACAAACGTTTTGAGTGTGCCCAGTGCCAAAAGCGCTTCATTAGGAGTGATCATCTGACAAAGCATTATAAAACCCACTTAGTCATCAAGAACTTGTAGGTTGGGATGCAAGCAGGAAAAGTAAGGAAGCAGTATGGTGATGAGCAACTTTTCACTCCTCATCATGAAAGATGGTCTCTGCAAAGGACAGAAAAAAATAATTGTCCTGACTGTGTGACTGTTTTCCCAGCCACATCTGCCCAAGGAAAAATGGAATGGTTGCTGCTCCTTCAATCAAACTGCCTTCAGACTGGCATATTCCTTTGGAACTTCTTGATGAATGCATCAGACTTCAAGGTTTGAACCTGAGATGGAAGAGCAATGCCATTTCCAAATATGCTGAAATCAGCACAAACCCAGTGGCAGACCTAGAAAAGCACGGCAAAACCCATTTATGCACCTTCCTCAGGAGCTTGCAGAGCCAAGGCCCCCCTCTGCTGCACCAAAGGAACTCCTTATGGGTTTGAGAGTAGCACCAGCAAAACTGTACCCCACTTATAATTTGGGTTCCTCTTCCCACTCGCTCCCATGTGCTTGTGAAGCTTTTGAATGAGAGGCAGGGAAACCATCCAAAATGGGACTCAGTCCCCCTAGCACATTCCTACTTTATATTTAAAAATATAAATATATATATATATATAAATATATATATCTATATATATATATACACACACACACATATAAAATAACCTCCTTAGGAAGCTTCATGTTTTTTCTACGGAGAATGTTGCCTTATATTTACCCCAGGTTCAAATTATGTATTGTGAGCGTTTTTTAATTTAATAATTTCTTTATAAACAAAACAATCCTTTGCCCTACCTAACAGAGCAGGCAAAGCACTCTGTCAAAACGCAGAGTCTGTGACCTGACCATGGTCTATAAACTAGATATGCCCTGTGTATATACCAGGGATTTCTAGGGTATGTGTAGCAGCAGCACTTTGTTCAAGGAAGGAAGAGCATCTCCCATATATATATATATATATATATATATATGAAGCAGAGCTGTGGGACTGTAGCCCACAAATCCTGATGTACATAGTAAAAAGTGCGGGCAAAAGCTATGTATGAGCCATATGGAAAATCTAGGGCAATCTGTTTGCAATTCTGAATTACTTGGTTACAAAAATAAGAGTTAAAAAGTCCAGTACGGATTTGCACTGTCAAGTTCTATTGGTCATTATTAATGATTTGGCATGTGAAATGAAAAAAATCCTTTTCAAAAATGGAATTTTCTCAGTCCCCCCCTCCCTCCCCTTTTTTATTTTGTTTACTTCACTTGATTCCCCCTGCCTCTTTTTTTTAATATCCAATGCAGCTCTTTTTGTGTACTATAGTGTATATTGTATCATAAACTATATATTGCGTTTAAGTGTTTGTTTGTTTCAAAAATATACCTTTTGTTATTTTTGACCTTTTAAATTAAAACAAAAATCCATTTTATTTTTTAGTTGTAACTGCTTGGCTATGTTTCTTTAAATGACAAATCATTCTTGTTTTCAATTAATGGTGTAACTTGGCAGAGCTGCATGTAGCTTGCCTAAAAGGGAGTGCTAGACTGAAGGAGAACCATGCATTTCTTGATGAACTGAAATGTTAGAATCTCATACTGAACCATCCATTTGAGAACAAAAGATTATTTTTCTTAAGTCGAAAGAATGGGAAAATGGGTTGTTTAGGTGGCTTGTTGACAACAAAAATGTAAAAGAGAAGTATTTTTACTCCTTAAAGACTGCTCAAAGGCATTTTCATGCTCAGATTGTTTTGTCATGCAGATATAAAAAGTTGGTCAGAATGTTTTGATTTTATGATGTCTCTTTCATTACCCTCTCACTCCCTTCATAAAGAAGTAACAACTTTCAAAAATACACTTGCGAACTTTGTATATGAAAATGATCTTTGACCTGTTATATTCATTACATAACAGTGTGCAATGCTCTTAGGTTTATAATGGTGATCATGCTTCTGTCATGCTTAATCCATAGTGACAGTGAATCATAGTGGAATGCAAGGAAAGCTGCCTTATTCTATAAAGTAAATGCTTTATCAAGGATTTGAAGTACCATCCAGCAAAAGGTTTTCTCCTATTGAAATGCTCACACATTTTACTTTTTTCCCCATCCTGGGGGGGAAAGGCAATGTTTTAAGTAGCAGGTGGGCAGGCAAGAAAGAAAAATAAATCCATATCGTTATACTCCAGTTTTGAAACTAATGTTATGTATAAGCAATCCCATATTAAAAGCTGAAGTCCTGAAATGGTAAAAAGTATAGTGTTTGATGACTGTATTAATTAAGAAAGGAGGCCTGAAGAACATACTTGTTAACATATCTTGTTCAGCTCCAACACTCAAGGTGGCTAACATCTAAATAAAATTACCACATAAATATCACAATAATACCAAGATAAGAAAAAGGTAAAGAACATAGCAAGAGTTAAAGATAATCCATATTGCAGATATTGCTCTCAAATACTTTATAAAGGAGCAATGCATAAAATCAGGAGTATGGAGCCCACAGTTTTCAGAGTCAGCTGAAGGGATAGGACAGATAAGGTCTGTTTCTGTGTCATTTGATTTGTTGAGAAAGAACACCTGGATCATGCTTTTGTGGATTGATCAAACTTTACAAGATGTTGAGAAAATCCTTTGAGTAAGGGATTTTGCCATACTTAATCATTTAATTAATTAATTATCACTTAAATTATTTAGTTGATCTACATGTATAAGCCTTTTGACCACAGTTTTCTCACGATCTATTATTATAAAAGGACCAAAGGAATAGGGATTTTCCTGTCTCTTCTCAAAGAAAGCTTTCCTATCGTAGGTGTTCTTAATAAATCCAATTTTACCTCAGGTATAAGGAAACTATATCAGATCAGATTCCTCCTCTTGTGTATCCTTGACCAAAGAACAATTTAGATCTTGAGCAGATACACATGGAGTTGTGAGAGAGGAAGGGATAGTCAGCTGGATCAATTTTGGCAATTCATTGGGAGACAGATGTCACAGATCATCCTCACACACAAACATCAAATTAAACTGTCTTGGACAGAGGAAAGATTAGATATTTTATCTGCTAGAAATTTAGCCCTAATTATCAAAATAAAACAACTCCGATATTCCATTGCAAGCTTGCAAATTACTACCATCTGATACAAACTTAGTACTGCGATCTAAATTCATCAAAATATTAATGAATTATTTTTACTTGCTTCATCCTGGCTTCAGTTCCTGCACTGTGAGAGTTCAGCATGGTAGAGCAAACCACATTTCCAACCCATTTGTTCCCCTTTTTTTCCATTTATTTCAAATTTCATGTTATTGTTATTGACTTTAAAGACTCGCAGCCTGCCCCATCTCCAAAGATAGTCAGCAATATCATCACAAGAACGTCTCTAAGGAAAGAAGATAATAAGTTCACAGATACAAAATCACAAAAGGACACAAATGAAATCCTTGAGGTTAGCTTATTATCTAAATCCATCCAAGTCATCAAAAAGCAATTGCTGTGGTTCACAAGGCTTTGTTGAAGCAAATAATCCACATTGCAATTTAATGTGGTGAGGTAGTTTGACAGCATGCTGAAATAATAGTTGGGATCTCAACAGTGCAGAACAATAAATTATCCAATCTCTTTTAGGTGAATCTAGTTATGTGAAGCCAGTCATGGCTAATTTGGGCAAATGATGCTTTTTACAGAAGCCATTGCTCAGCAGAGAAACTTAAATACTGCCTTTAGAAATGATACCAAAATTTTAGAGACACTCTTGATGAGTGAGGCCAACTCAGAAAATCTCAGAAAATCTTTTCTGAACAACCCTTGTGGAACAAATCTCCAGCTATGGAAGAAATAATATGAAAGTATAATATTTTCTTATGCTTTACTTCACCATTCAGGCAACAGAAAGCAATAAGTTACTATTTTTCTTCCTTTGGGTCACTAAAATGGAGTAATTTCACTGGCTGAAGAGTAAGGGGGCTATTCTGCCAATTTCAGCGTATTTCAGGTAATCCTAATTGATGGACTACTTGTTCAGCAATTGTTCAAAGTCACAATGGCATTGAACAAAAAGACATATGACTAGTCCTCGTAGTTGTAATTTTTATGTAATCACTATTTGTGTACTTGGTAATCAGCTCAAAATTGCAATGGTAACAGCATTTCACCATTTGCAACTTTCACTGCTGCAGTCTGAAAAGCAAGTCTATAGAGAAGCTGGCAGGAATTGCAGATGGTGATCATGTGATGTCATCTCAATGATTGTATAGGATTCTCTTAATGGCAGAACCAGAACATCTGCAAATGCCATTGTAAGTTGGCATGATCACAGACATCACATTTTACCATCATGTTACTTAGTGACAGAATCACTAATCCCAGTTGTTGATAAACAACAACTATCTGTATAGTGATTCTGGGATCAAGGGATTTGGATTAACACATTCTCCTGAGGATGCAATAAATGAAATGACTTTCAAACTTTTCTTCTGTAGCTCTAAAATTTCATTAAAAATCCCCTTTGCAGATTCAAAGAATTGACAGAAAAGAGGGACATATAGAAAGGCAAGAAAAGAAAGAAGCAATAAGTATGAATTTTGACCATGGCAGAAATCAGGATGAGACACAGATGATTTGATGTCTAAGCTAGAGGAGCAAATGACATTTTCTACTTGCCCTAGGCAAGATTCACAATATTGTATACAAAGACAACCTAAATAAATGTGCTGTACAAGGCAGAAAATTGTATCTTTTTTTCTTCTATTGCTATCAGTAAAAATACAGTAACAAATTAAGTAACTAAAATCTTCATGCATATTCAGGATATTTGGCATTGTCCGCCTCTAGCAGCCAGCTCCCTTATATAATGGTAGAATCAGCTCTGAGCTAAATGATGGGCTTAATGTCAGAGGTGGGATTCTTCCTGGTCGGTCTGGTTCTATAAAACCAGTTGTTATGATTCTGCCCAGTTCAGAGAACCGGCAAATTGCACCACTGACTGGCCCTGCCCCACCCCACCCCGCCCACTCACTCCTTACCTGGCATGCACACCATCCAACTAGCCTGTGTTAGCCTAATTTTTGGTGTTGCTATTTTTCCTTTTATTTTCCGACCATCAGCTGTTCCTATTATCAGCTGTGCCAAGGATTTAGATTAGCTAGAAAGCAGGAAATCATTAGCTAATCTAAAAGCAGAGCTGAACCTTCCTTAGGACTGAAGCTTCTATTTTTCAGTGCAGACTCAGTAGCAGATGGCAGAAAGATAGATCTCTAAGTGAGTCTGTGATTCTGTGAGCAACTCAATCTGCCTGACTGTCTGATTTGGGGTAAAAGTTGCTCTTTTTTATATATAAAAAATTCAATATTTACAATATTATAATGGTGTGTTATGAGTTAATTTTGTGAGTTTGCTTGCAAGCAAATTTTATGAGACAGACTCAGATAGCAGATTGCAGAATGGTAGATCTCTAAGTGAATCTGGGATTCTGGGATCAACTCAATCTGCCTGCCTGCTTTGCCTGATTTTGGGTAAAAGTTGCTCTTTTTTTATAAAAAGTTCAATATTTACATAAATATTCACAATATTTACATACCAGCCATGCCCACCTAGTCATGTGAGCAAGCCATGCCCAGTCACCAAGCCACCCCCACAAATTAGGCCATGCCCACAGAACAGGTTGTTAAGAAATTTGAATCCCATCCCTGCTTAATGTGGTATGGTAACATTTGAAAAGCAGAGTACCATACTGCTTCTTTTCTGAACTAAGGACGGTATTTCACTGTTTATCTTTTTAATGGTTAAGCACATTTTGGAACTTTCTGAATGTTTCTTATCTCAAAATACCAGAAAACTTTGCCACTATTCCTCAGCATCTACATCTCAGATGTATTCTGAGTCCTGCAAAAAAAAAAAAAAAAGAGCTTGTAACCTTGAGTCCCCATCACTAGTTTGGTGGATGGCATTAGCAAGCTTACTGAGATAGTTGCTAACCAGTGGCAGATTTATCCAGAAATGAGTTTAACCCTGTCTATTCATACTCACATCAAGAAGAGCAAAATTCTGAGGTATCTTCATCGTGCTTTGAGTAGCTGATGAGATGGCAGCATCCTCGGTATTATGCATCAAGATAAATTGTCCAGTAACTCATCCTGTGAGATAAGGTTTTCACTGGAAAGCTGCTCAATTTCTGGAAATGGAATAGTATAGAGGGAGGGAGGAAGCAAACAAGCAAGCCTCTTAGGTCACTAGAAGTAAGCAACCAAATAGAAAATGACATTTGGTTCATGGTTACCGATATCAGACGTACATTTTATTTAGTACTTCAGTCAATCAGAATAGAGCTGAAGGGACCTTGGAGGTCTTCTAGTCCAACCCTTGCTCAAGCAGGAGAACCTATACCACTTCAGACAAGTGGCTGTCCAGGCTCTTCTTAAAAACCTCCAGTGATGAAGCACCCACAATTTCTGAAGGCAAGCAGTTCCCCAGATTAATTGTCCTCACTGTTAGGAAGTTTCTCCTTAATTCCGGGTCGCTTGAAACCTTGATTAGTTTCCATTCATTGTTGCTTGTCTTGCCTTCTGATGCTTTGGAAAATAAGTTGATCCCCTCATCTTTGTGAGAGCCCCTCAAATACTGGAATACTGTTATCATGTCACCCCTAGTCCTTCTTTTCTCCAGACTAGCCATATCCATTTCCTGCATTCTTCATATGGTTTAGTGTCTCTCCCTTAATCCTCTTAGTTGCTCTTCTCTGCATTTTTTCCAAAATTTCAACATCTTTTTTTGGAATGTGATGAT